CAGATTGAGACTGAATCCAGATAAAATGGAGGTACTTACAGTAGCGCCGCCAAAACTAGCTATTGGGATACAACCTCCAGTCCTGGACAGGGTCACACTCTCTGCAAAGGACTGTGTTTGCAGCCTGGGGTTGCTCCTGGATCTGTTGCTCCAGATGACTAATCAGGTAAACGAGATGGCTAGTAGTGCCTGTTATCAGCTTCGGCTGATACGCCAGCTGTGCCCTTTCCTGGAAGTTAGGGACCTTGAAACTGTGGTACATGACCTGGTAACCTCCCATCTTGATTTCTGTAATGAGTTCTACATGGGGCTACCCTCGTGCTTGATCTGGAAATTAATACAGAACATGGCAGCCAGGTTGGTCTCGGGAACATCGAGAAGACACCTTATAACATCTGTCTTAAAGTTACTTCACTGGCTGCCTATTAGTTTCTGGGCACAGTACAAGGTGTTGGTTATCACCTTTAAAGCCCTATGGCTTGGGTCCAACCTATCTTCGGGACTGCCTCCTCCCATATAATCCACCCCACGCATTTCGGTCCTCTGGGAGGAATTTGCTGCAACTGATAATAATAATAATAATAAATTTTATTTTTATATCGCCCATTGGTAGTCCAATCTGGGCGGTTTACAGCATAAAAATTAGCATACAACGTAAAACATTTCCCCCCCTTAAAACGTTATTAAACCACATTATAATTAAAACCATTTAGCAATATAATCTAAAATAAAAACAAGGCTGTCTGCAACCTCCCAGAGGGCCTTCTAGCAGCTGCTCCCAGATTATGGAACAGCCTCCTGGACGAGATCTGTCATATTACTACTTTAAGAAGCCTTTAAAAAGCTGTTAAGATGGATCTCTTCTAGCAGGCCTTTCCTGACTAGATTCCTGGCATCAAGAGTTAGTCCATCCTTCTCTTCCCCACTCTTTGCTGCAGTCGCTGTTATTGTTTGTCATCAGTGAGATTTATTTTAAATATGTTTTAACTTATTATATTTAATATCTTTTAAGGGGTGGGTGGGTTTTGGGATTTTTGGGTGTGACTGATATTGTATTCTTTGGCAATTTTAATGTTGTAAGCCAACCCAGTTGCCCTGCAGATGGATAGGATATA